CAGGTACCACCATCTCGCTCGGATGTAGCTCTCTGGTATTTCAGTACACCCATGAGGTATTTCTCCGTTCTCCTGTTAATGGTCTTATCTCAGTAAGAAACAGCAGAGCAGGAACTCACTCCTGCAAATCCACCCTTCCACGGGCAGCAGTCCTCAAGTGCTGTGGCCTCAGGACTCCCGGGAGGACCTACCAACTACTGAGCACCTCAGCGAGCCTTTATCTTTGTGGGTTTCAGCTACTGATGTTTCTCATACCAGAAATTAAACTGAGGAATGTAAAAGTATTTATTCATTCATTTCAAAATTACACCAATCAATCCTTTACATATCATAAATAACATATTTTCATTTTTAAAATTTCCAAAATCCATTGTATGGAAATTTTAAGAACGTGGGTGCTGCTACTTAACTAGGTATTTTAATTAATATAATTAATTTAATTAATATAATTAATTTAATTAATATAACTTTGAGTCAGTTTGCAAAGACACAGAATTAAACACACTTGCCTTAAATGAAACACAAGGCCATCATTTTTGATGACAGAAGCATTTCGAGATCCTGGGTTCTCTTTCACGTCAACCCCTTTTATAGTCACAGGCCTGAGTGTTTATCTCCATGAGAATCAGCTTGTGCTGGCTACAGACATTAGGCAGAGACAAGGAGCAAACTACACAAAACGGAAAGCAGTCCACTTCCAAACATCATCTCATCCGCTTCAAGAATTTCAGACCCTCAGCAAGTCTACAAGTAACTCAGCTCCCATTCCTTGCTCCTCCCCAGAGGAGAGAGAAGCTGACGAGGATGAGCTGGCACAAGGTCATCACCTGGGTCGGTGTCCAGGGGGTTAAAGCTTTCCATCTCACCAAGAAGAGGTCGAAATGCTGAGCAACAAAGAGTCTGGCTCGCTGGTCTCCAGGCCTCCACAGGAGCAAGTGGCCACTGAGGGCGGAAACCTGGGCTGAGCCTGCGGACAGCAGGATGGAAGCGACAGTGACAAAAGCCTTGGGAAAGGACAGCAATGGAGAATCTAGTGGCAGTTAGGACACAGAACTGTTGGCCTTAGAGACCAACTTGTGACTAGATGCAGCATTATATTTCTTCTAATAGTCAGCTTTTTTTGCATACAGATTAAGAAAGGCTGGTGCCAGTAATTTAAAAGGGAACGTTTAACATTCACGGAACCAGAAATAACTGTGTAGACGGAATGCTGAAGATTCTTCTAGGGCTAAGAGCGAGTGCCTAAGCCAAGGACACCGTCGGCAGGGGCCCCTCCCCAGGCCTGGGCCTCAGAGCATGCTGGACACCACCCACCTGCAGCACACTGCGGAGAGGAGCTGACGGGGCTGTCCAGGCCAGAGCTGCTCCACAGCCACAGAAAACCCCGCACTGAGGTGCAGGCAAGCCAAGGTGGGTTCAAAAGGAGAAGTTAGGGGTTAGATGCCCTTGGGGGGTGTTGAAGAAGGGTGCATACAGACGCTGGGTAGCCAAACGAGGCGCTGTGCCAGGAATCCAGGCATTTCCTCTGAGTGCCAAGCCCACCCTGCCATGCCCAGCTTCTGATCCTGGCACTGGGCCTTGAAGACCACATGGCTATCCTGACCAGGGGTTCGATGTTCAGCGCTGGGCACGGGCACTGCTTCCCAGGTGGGATAGGCTGGCGTGTGAGGGTCCCACATCGTTTTTCCTGGGGACTGGGGACAGCCACCAATCCTCACCCGGGAACTGCTTCACTCTCTTATAGCTGTGATGGACTCACGGTCCTGTCAGATAAGGCCCCTACTCTGGGCATCTAAACCTCCCACACCCACTTTTCCAGACTCAGCCCCTTTCCACACTGATGACCTTAGCCTTGTCTTTTCTGTCTTTCAGCAGCTAACCATCTTTTCCTTTGTTAACAATTCTGTATACTGAATTTTTCCTGTTCAAATGCTGCTGTGTTTCCTATCTCCTGGCTGGATCCTGACTGACTCCACCTGAGTTTGTGCAAAGTAAAGCCCTGAAGTCCCCGTCACCACTAACAATCTGGAGTCACGTGAAGCTTGCTACCTGACACCGCTGCACCCTCCAGGGGCCTCCTCTGCTCTCTCCCTCCCTGTGCCAACTCTTCTTCTTCTTCTAATTTCCAGGCCCTTCCTGCATCCCTGCTGGCCCCTTCTCTCAGCACAGGCCAGCGTCCAGCTGGGACCCTGATCACTGTGGATGGTCACGGCCACCTTCGAAGCTCTGCAGACCTGCCCAGAGGGATGTCCGGACCCATCTTGTGGCCACATCATGACCCCTGGAAGCTTCTGCTGCTCTAACGGGGGAGGCTATGGGATCAGACTGACCTAACTACACAGGAAGGCCCACTTGGCAAAGTAAACAGCAACAGATAAACTTCAAGAGATTACAGCAGGAACCCATAAAACACAACATGTTACTACCTATTTATTTTTAGACAGTGTATCACGCCACATTATGAAGGCCATTCCAAATCACACACAGGAGTGTCTCTGTGGGAAGCGATGTGGAGTGCCAGGGCTGTCTTGGTCCCAGCACTTACATGCCCTGTGACTGCAGGCAAGTCACCTGACAGCCAAACCTCAATCTCCTGGCCTGATGGCCTCAGGATTCCTATCAAGGTAAGGATGCACTCTGCAAAGCAGTGACGACTGCACCATTATTTCCAACCCTGAGGACATGCCGGCTCCCCTTCTGCTCTGCTCCAGTGTGGATGGGAAGAGCCAGGACCCTCATCTTCACTGCAAAGAAGCCCAAGACTGGCATCACAACCCCGCCTACACACCCATGTCACCCGCCCCAAGGAGCAGTCCATTCACTGGTGGGATGGGGATGACAGCGTTATCTGTCTCTCAGGTCCCCTAAGGACCATAAGCATCACTGTCAATCAGCTAAAATAGCATCATACTCCCCACTGTCCAGGTCACTTTGAATTTCAGGAGAAAGCAGGTGAAGGTGCCCTGTAATCCACAAAGAACCACATAAACACTAGTGTCAACCTTCACTACACCACAGCAGTGGAGAAAACACAGTTTTAAACATGTATTCAAAGAGATGAGGAATCTCCTGATGCCAAAGAACATTTTCACCACTTTCCAGGGCTCTTCACCTCCCCATCCCTGCCCAATACAGACAGCTCACACTGAGGCCAGCTCCCTGGCAGTGGCCCTGCACCACCACCTACGGGCTCCACGGGGAAGTGAGGGGAGGCCCAGGGCAGGCAGGAGGGCACCTCCTTGAGAATCCAGCCCAGGGCTCAGATCAAGAGACAGGAAAAGACAGCAGCAGCATGCGCAGTTGCAGAACGACTCCTCTAAAAAGGAGGCTGAGGCCAGGTGTGGTGTGGTTCATGCCTGTAATCCCAGCACTCTGGGAGGCTGAGGCAGGACGATCGCTTGAGCTCAGGAATTCAAGACCAGCCTGGGCAACATGGCAAAATCGCATCTTTACAGAAAATATAAAAATTAGCCGGGCATGGTAGCCAGTGCCTGTAGTCCCAGCTACTCAGGTGGCTGAGGTGGGAGGATCACTTGAGCCCGGGAGCAGGGGCTGCAGTGAACTACGATCGAGCCACTGCACTTGAGCCTGGACAACAGAGCCAGACCCTGTCCCCAAAAATAAAGAGGATGCTGAAAATTCATATGATTACAAGTGTTTTAAAAAAACACAATTATATGCTTACATACATCAAAATATTATCAGTGATCATTTTGAGGAGATAAAACGAGAAATCTCTCCTTCCTTCATTTTTTAAATTTTATTTTATTTTAGAGTCAGAGTCTCGCTCTGTCACCTAGGCTAGAGTGCAGTGGCTGCAACATAGCTCACGGCAGCCTTGAACTCCTGGGCTCAAGCGAGCCTCCTGCCTCAGCCTGCAAAGCACTGAGTTACAGGCATATGCCGCAGCTTCTTCCTAGCCTTTAAATGCTCTCTCAGGTGCCACATTTCATCATGGAAAACACTAGCCCTGGGTGGGGGAATCGAGTAGAAATAATCGTCAAACACGGCCTTTCCTACCCCCTGGCCCTGCCCACCCAGTCAGCAGCCTTAGAGGGTGTTCTTAGGATAGTCTCAGGATGTGAACAAACATTAAAAAGGTGTCTTTACATCGTAAACGGCCAGAGTAGTTTCTTTGAAACAAAGGAAGCTAAGTGCCCACCCCCATCACCTGTCAGAACGGCCCTGGCTCCAAACAGAGCACCCACCGCACAGCCCCACACAACAGCACCACCTCCTGCTGGAGGAAGTCCTTCCAGAGGGTTCCCTGCACCCAACCGCACAGGCACAGCCCTGCACAGTGCCACATGGCAGCACTGCCTCCTGCTGGACAAAGTCCCTTCCAGAGGGTTCCCAGCTTTGCTCATTTACTCTCTTTCCTGCTCCAACTGAGCTCCTAAAGGAAGGCAGGGCCCCCAAAGGGATGCTGATGGGTCCAGGTCTTCGAGGCAGCACTACACACCATGAGCTCAGTACCCCTTGGTGAGCAGGCAGCATGCGGCTCCCAGGGCCCACTGCAGAGTCCAGCCGGCGTTTTCCACAGCAGGATATCCCCCATGGAGGCTCTCGGTGCTTCAAGAATATTCTCGTCTCAAGAGGGATGTGGGACACTGGGATGAAGATTCTGGGGTCAGACCTAAAATGGGCTTCAAGGGGCCACAGGGACAGAGCAAGGGAGGAGCAGGAAGGGGAGGAAGGGCCTTACCCTGAGCTCTAAGATGACAACTTCCCTCTCGCCGCCACCTCTCCTGCCCAGATGTCCTGCCCAGAACCAGCCATCAGAGCCAGAACCAGAACCAGGGACTCCAACAGGGCAGGGGGCGAGGGGTCCCAGCAAGACACAGTCCGCAGCCCAGAGGCAACGCAGACACCCTGTGATGGCCACAGAGGCCACAGGGCCAGCCAGAGGAAGCCAGGACTGTGCCACCTGGTGACTGGGAGCCGCCTCCCCATGGCTGCTAAGTGAGGAGGTTGGGCTGAGCAGCTTCTGGCAGGCTTACCTTTTTATCTTCCTTAGTCTTTCGAACAGTTCGATGGGGACCAAAAATGTTTTGCATTCCAAAGGCCTTCCTGGACCACTCCCTCTTGGGAGCGCTCAGCGGGGGCTGCGCGAAGCTGCCCTCCACCCTGTAGCGGTCCGCGGGGATCTTGCTCATAGGAGGGGGCAGCGTGCCGCAGTTGACACTGGACCAGCCGTCGGTGGAATCTGTGTAAGACTCCTGGTCGCTGGCATGTCCGCACTGCCACTCCCGGAGCACGTGAACCGGGAGCCAGCGCTGGTTGAAACCACAGCTGGCGCCCACGGTGCCCCTCTTGGAAGGCGGGACTGAGCTCCTCAAAGAAGCTGGAGGCACCTCCACAGGGGAGGCCGGTCCTAGGTGCTTGTTTAGGTCCCGGAACCTGTCAGTCTGATGAGCGGCCTCAAATGGGGGGCTCCCTTCGGAGTCGGGACAGAAGGGTCCAGACCAGGGAGCACCCCAGGGCTGGGTACCCCTCCCACCCACACCGTCCCACGCGCTGCCTCCGGGGCCGTGCCTGCTTGAGCTCCCACCCAGGTCCACCACAAGGACTCGGTTGCTCTTCTCCTCCTGGTGGAAGTTCCCGATGCCGCTGTCACTGTTGCTGCTGGTGCTGTTGTTCTGGTGGGCATCAGCGTCCCCGTCCAGAAAGGCGCGGGCCCGCATGCCCTCAATCAGCTCACCCATGTCTCGGTACAGGACAGAGATGAACTGCAGGACAGGGAGGGAGGACGCCGGGAATTCCAGACAGCCATTGGTGTCCGGGTCAGCCGTGCACTCAAACCCAAACCGCCGAGCTATGCCTTGGTGGATCTTGTGATTAAACAAGTCTGGGTCCACCATGAATACATGGCAGGAAGTCCGCAGGGCACCCTCCTCCTCCTGGGCCAGGCTCCCGTCATCATTCGTCTGCATGGTCACCAACCCGAAAAATCGCCGGTCGTCCGGGCACACGGCGCTGAAGGCCAGCTTCTCGGCCGGGTACTCGGCCACGACCCCAGCCTTGTCAGTGCTCAGCTGCACACAGTCGTGCATGATCTTCATGGTCACCAGCGAGTGGATTTTCTGCTCTGCCCGCAGGCGCCGCATGCAGCCACGGATGGCTTGTAAGCTGTCGGACTCCAGATTGGAGCTCGTGGAAGGAAGTTCAATGGAGCCTAAGTAGCCCACGATCATCGCCACATTTAAAATACTTGCATCCAATGCGAAATCGTCATGACTTTCTAGTCCAATGCTGAAAACCGAATCATCGTGAATAACTTTCGATATCTCCTCCTTAGAAAGCATGTTGGGATTTGGATTATTCATACTTTCATGTCCAACATCAAATCGAGCTGCGGCCGACTCCGAAAGGGATCTTTGTTTCAATTTCAAGGGCTCTGAACTGCTCGCACAAAGGCTCGGGTTTTCAAAAATCATATTGAAAATTCCACCAGACTGCATTTCCTCCACGACTCGCTCTGCTCTGTTTATACCTAGTGCTTTAGAATCCAGCTTGGGTTTCAGCCAGCCTTTTCCTTCATAGAGTCCCCCTTCTTCGTCACTGGAACAGGATTCGAGGCGGCCGATGCCTTCAGCAATCGCCATGTGCAGGACACCAGAGCACTTCCCAATTAATTTCACTACATCTTCATGAGACGCTTTTTTCACATCGATTTCATTGACAGCAAATATCTGGTCTCCAGCTCGGAGGCCCACGAAATCCGCAGGGCTCCCTCTCATGACGCAGCTGAGCACACAGGGCGCCTGTCCCGAAAGTGTGAATCCATAGCCGGCCCTCCCCCGGGCAACCTCCACACTCCGCACCCGCGGGGGCGCCGGCCCAGGCAATGGGCGCTTGGACGCCTCCCCAACTCTAAACATTCTGATGAGCTTCCAAGACCAAGAGCACGTCTCATTGTTCCCGTGGAGCCATACTTGAGGGAATGCTTGATGCTACCATGCTTGCTTCTTCAAACAGTGCCCTAAGAAAGAAAAATGAACAGCTCATTATTCAAGTCCATCTTTCTCCACTGCTCACTGGTATTACCTAAACACAAAAACATCATTCATAATAAAAACCACCGCAGAAAGCACCTCTAAGTGTCTATAGACAATAAATCTTCAAGTCAGGCAAAGAAACTTCCTTTTGGAGTAGAAAATGTCTCCCACAATGGCTACCTTGTCACTGCACGAGTTCCCGTTCCTGCCCGGCAAACCCACCGACCCAGCGTGGGCGTGAGGACGCAAGACTGCTTCCCCTGCTGCTTCCACACCCAGCTTGGATGGAAAGAGCCCCTGGCTACTCAGTGTCGTCCGTGGACTGGCAGCCTGTCTGAAAGGCAGACTCTCGGGCTCCACTCAGAACACACACACCCAAACCCACGTTTCATAGGACAGCAGAGTCCAAGCGTGAGAAGCAAGGCCTGCTACAGGCTTCAGGTTCAAAGGCACCTGCAGAACAGAGTCTAACCCCTTAGTTGATTACAAATCCCCTCAATAGAGTTTTCCCTCAGGAGAGGGGTCACCTAATATTCCATGACCCTCCCACATTAATTTATTTTGAATATACTGTGTGGGGGAAAGCACATTACCCTGAAACAACCTCAATCAATACTGCAGAGGCCACCCAACAGGCTAGATAAAAACCACCACCAAAAAGAGCAAAGAAACATCATATTAACTCAATTCTTCCAGGGGGTATGACTTTAAAAGTATTGGTTGTCATTAAGAACAAACTTGTCAGGGGTTCCCGGACCACCCCCAGGCCAGTGATTCCCAGGACTTAGTACAAAGGTGCACTCACAGCTGAGATTCATTAGAGCGAAAGGATTCCACACAAAATCAGCAGGGGCAGAGGCCCATGGGGCGATGTCCTGAGGAAACTTGGCCCGAGCTTCCAGAATCCTCTCCCGGTGGGGTTGCGCAGGACGCACTGAGCTCCCCCCAGAGTGAGCCGTAACAGTGTGTGCAGTGTCGTCACCAGGGAAGCCCACCGGAGACTCGGTGCCAGAGTTTTGACTGTGGGCTGGGCACATGGGCACTCTCTGCCTGCCTCGCACCCAGACTCTGGACTCCCAGAGGGAAGGCAGGTTCCCAGCACAAACCCTGTTGCCCACACAAGCAGCTGAGCACAGGGAGCCCCTCCTCAGTGAGGACGGTGGGCACCGTCCTGATACCACTCAGGGGCCAGCCTGGCACACAGGCCTCTCAGGATGGTCTCGGGCCTGCTGTGTAGTCTCTCCTGCAAAACTCTTTAAAGATCACTTGAAAAAGCAATACAGTAAGTGATGATGTTGTGAAGATGCAAAATAGAACAGAGGGTATGTTTTTTAAAGAAATAATTGTTTTAAAGGTATTTATTAGAAGAGATTTTTGTGTCTTGGGATACAGTTTCCAGCAACAGGATCATAAACAGATTTGAAGTAATTTACACACACAAAAGCTACAGAACTAGATAAAGTGGAAAGGCTATTACTGGGTGACTCCAAGAGCGGCTTCTGTGATGACAAACACGGACATACAACATGCGCACTTAGTAAAATTACGTTTTGATAGAGAAGAGTCCAAAATGAATATAAATTACATTACTCAATATCTAAGTAGTACTATATTAATAATTTAAATATTAGGACTGGGCATTTAACTATTTAATGTTCATCATTAAAAAATAAATAAATAAATGTAAAAGTTGGCCAAGAAACATCCTTGGGGATCTTCTCATTGGATCTCCTTAAGAGGTGTGACAGGCTGGCTGATGGCCCCTGATACACCCACGTCTTCAGTCCCAAGCTTCTGGATGGCTCCTCCTATCCATATGACCTCGTGAAGGCTCTGGAGATGGGGAGAGTGTCAGGTGCGCCCGTGTGAGCCTGGGGTCAGAGCCAGAGGGGATGGCCATGCGGGGAAGGATGCAGAGACCGCAGGAATTCAAGGACGGGTCTCGAGCCCAGGCAGACGGGCAGGCGGTCGCCTCCAGAAGCTGCAAAGGTGAAGGAAGCAGACTAAAGCCGCCAGAGGAACCAGCTCTGCCACATCTGCCATCAGCCAGGTCACAGTGACTGCAGACATGAGGCCCCTGAAAATGCAGGAGAATTAATGTGTGTTGTCTTAAGCCCCCCAGTTTGTGGTAATTTCTTTCAGCAACCCCAGGAAACAAATACAAGGGGGAATCACTTTATCACAGGTGAGGCGAGAGGGAAAGCAGGACATGCGTGAAGCGGTCTCACTGAAGCACACTCGGAAAAGCATCTGGCTCATGGCAGACGCCACACACCAAGGTGCTGTTGTTCCCGTTACAGCAAATGCCAGCTATCACCGTGAACGGCCCCAGGACGGCAGGTCATGAAGCCTTGATGGCTTCCTCGAGGAACAGAACACCTCTTGGCTTTCTCCTCAAACAGGAATAGATGCTGCCTCAATGACAGACATGACTTCCCAGTTTATTCACACCATCCGCCTCACACTGTGTGCCATAATGATGGATAAGTCTTCTGTGCAGTCCACTCAATTTTTCTACTAGACTCTTACTGTCATGTGCCTCTGCTTATTAAAAAGAAATGGTTTGTAATTCATATAAGTAATATCTTATTATCTATAATCACATTTGTTTTTATTTTTTAGAGACAGGGTCTCACTCCATTGCCCAGGCTGGAGAGCAGTGGCACAGTCATTGCTCAGTGCAGCCTCAAACTCACTCCTGGGCTCTAGCCATAGCGAGCACACCCCCATACT